GGACGGTGGTGCGGCGTCTCCTGGGCCGCGTCAGAGGCGGCCTTTCTCTTAGGGGTCACTATGGTGGGGCACTCCCGGCGGACCCTAGGAACGGGAAAGGGCGGGAAAGGGCGGCGAGCGCACAGCCGGGGCGCCACAGCCGCCCCCCACGCCTGCGAGCTGTCCGCGCACAGGTGCGGAAGCAGAACCCCCGGTGCCCAGGTGTCGGTAGCTCCGACCCGCGGTGCTGCGACATCGCAAAAGGCAAGGCGACGTTTCAGCTGGACTCTGACTCGCACAAAATTCTGCGGGATTTTTCTTTGTACCAGGAACCGAACTCAGGACCTTGCGACATCCACGGCCCTGTAGAAGTTAATGTGAATTTGAGGGAAAATTACGTTTCCCATTAATTAGTGGCAGTGCCCCCCACGCCTGTCCCCAGCACCTCCCAGGGACTATAAGTGATTTCAAAATTTCTGCTCAGCTCAAAAGCTAAGGCATGACTTAAAAAAATGCTTGGGTGAGGCAGGCATAGTGGTCTTCCCCTGTAATCCCAGTATGTGGGAGGCTGAGGCAGGAGGATCATAAATTCAGGCCAAAATACACCGTTAGCTCACACCCTCCTTTCTGGCTTATGTGACCGTTTGTGTGAGGTGTGGGTGCCCGTTCTGAGAGTGCAGAGGCTGCCTTGTCCTCTACAGTGGGCTCACAGCACAGGTGGGAAGCAGCCCTCCCGGGCCAAAGCGCCAGGATGAGAGGGTGGAGCTGGGCCCTCACCCTGCAGGGCACCTGGCCACCCTGGACCTTTATCCGTGAGCAACTTTCTAGCTTGTCTCCGCCACACGTGAACCATGCATGTGTCAAGCCAGAGTCCCACCGCAGACCAGGTTGACACCAGACCCACACACCCGGCTGCAGTGACAGCTCCGGTTCCCACGGCCTGGGAGAAAAGGTGCTTTCCACACAACAGGGCCATTTTCAGAGGGGCTCAACAAAACGTAGCCACCTCCTAACTAGGTCAGGGCGACATGTGACGACAAAGTCCTTTTCAGTAAGAGAACTGTTAACAAGCAATTTAAGCAAAACGATGGCTTGTTTTATTTACAATACTTAATGCATTTACACAGTTTCATTCCCTAAGCCTTTTAGGAAGTGATTCCAGTTTGTGCAACGAGTTCACAGGAAAATCTTAAGATATCGATTAGACACCTTAAGTTCTAAACTTTGAGATTTCATACTGTTAATAAAGGACTATTTTTAACCAAGAAAAACAACTCTGAATACTGCTCTCTGGTACCTTTGTGCCTAACACAAGCCGGCCAGCCTATGAAGCGACACCGTCAGACCTGGGTGAAGTATCCTGACCACCCGCCCAGTAAGATGCGAAGCAAACGGCCACAGTGCCCATTTTATTTCAGTGCTCTCCTCTTGGACTCTCTCAACTGTTGCTGGGCTCGCTCAGGGCGCAGGCAGGCGGGATTCCAGTCTGGAAGATCTGAAGCCGGACTCCTAGTGCAGCAGGCAGCCTTGCAGTCAGGCCGGAGCCAGAAGGGTCGTGTCCGGTGGTTTCCCGGGAGGCCACTGGCGGAAGCCCAGCGGTCAGCCGTTCCCTACTGGCAGCTCCTCCTTCCTCTCCTCCTCCTTCAGTTACTGCCCAGAGCTCGGTGTCTCCTGAGGCGATGAGAGAAACCAGTCCCTCCACTAGGACACTAAAAAGTGCTCGACGTCACAAAAACATCCGTTAACCGAACAGGCGAAGAGCAATGGAAGTGAGAGAGCGGGATGACTCCATTCACACAATTACTGCCCCTCAGAACGCCAGGCGTCTCAGCGCCCGAGCCGGGCAGCGGACAGGGCTTATCTCCACTCTGGGTCCACCCGACTTGGCGAAGGTGGCTGGCTAGGGGCTGCTGAACTGCAAAGATAAAGCCTGGCACACGGCAGAAACGAGAATTGGAAGATAGACATGGCGAGGTAGAGTTGAGAGAGTTCAATTAAAATTTCTGAGCAGAGACCTTTTGGCACACACTAAAATCACAGGCTCCCCATAAGATTCTCCCTGTGAAACCTTTCCAAAGTGCTTACCACGCAGGAATCCTCAGGCCTATTTAGGAAACGGGTAAATCTAACAAAATAAAGTCATCTGAAGAAATCCATTCCTGGCACTGCAGCTATTACCTTCCCCAGATTGAAGCAAGTAAGAACAATGCTATCATTTGCTGAATTTATTTTAACAAATTGATTTAGAAATACCGTAGAATTAAACAAAACTTCCGACATGTAAACATACTGCCATGTTCCTGAAACAGATGTTAACACCTGATAGAAGTTAATAACCACTTGTCAGGAAAGCTGCCCACAAATAAGGCCAGTCTTCACTCAGCAAAACTAAAGCCACTCTGTCTCCAGCTTTCCTAGGCCGACAATGTAATACTATCACACCACAGTCAAATATAATACAGACGACACTGGGTGGGCAGATCAGTACCATTGGTTACAGCTGTTGGACAGTTTCATTCTCGGCGCCACATTAAAACAAGCCAGTCACATCAAATAAATCATGGCTTTTTTCTTTATCACAACTCACTAAGTGATGTTAATTATGGTCCTTGTCAAACACGTTTGGTAAAGGCTATTTACAGTGTACATGGCCGAGCATGCACTATTTATAGTTACAAAGATACCTGCCAGTTTATTACAATAGAATTACACAGTGCCTGCAAATGGTGAAACATCTCCCACATCATTTAAATCAACAGTTTCAAGCAGAAAACGTTCCTTATTTGACCACGACTGCAATAATTACATGAAAATTCTTATAAAAACATGAATCCTCTTCAAGAAATTGATGCATATTCTACACACTACAGGTTAAGGCAGTTAACAAAATGTGTTCCTGATAACTGGAGGTCTTGACAATGTCAATTAAAGCTGTCTCACTCTCGTTTCATTCCCCGTCACGTACTCAAGGGTTGCGAATGATTTCGTTTTTAAAGTCAAAAAATTGTTAGCAACTGAGATGACTCTGGAGAAAAGTAGTTGGTAGGAAAAGGAAAGGTTGGATTTAGCCTGAAAGTCTTCAAATCATAAACAAGAGCATTATTTGTTAGTTTGAATCTTAAATTATAAAACAAATACATATAGTTTACCCTTCTTAATTTAAAATATACTGTACTTTGAACAATTCAAGTAATGTAAGACTATCAAAAATAACTTCATAAGCCATACAAGTGTCAATTGCATTTTCCATTAAGAACTTTTTAAAAACCATAAACTAAACGACAGTTTAGTTATATAAATGATAAATGACTTTTTATTTGCACTTGTGATTCCTTTAATATAAACTGTTATCAACGAATACGTAAAGATATGGCAGATTATGCGTTTGATCAAAGCACTTTGATTTAAGCATAAAACAGATTTCAGTGGTAAAGTTCGTGCATAAGATCCAAGGGGTCGCCTCTGACGCCCGGGTGCCCGTCGGGCTGGAACCCGTCGCTCCTCACTGCGGACGAGACAGGGCACAAGCTTCTGTAAACGGGGAGGGCGCTGCCACAAACCCAGGGTCGAGTTCTCTGATGAACAGCACTCCCCTTCAGCTGGAGAGCCTTCCCAAGTGTCTTCCAGCACTGGAGTATTTTCTGCTGGCCTCTTAATTTCATAAATTAACTTTTGTTTCCATTTTTATGGTGGTTGTGTTCACAGTTTTGCTTTAAAAATTGGTTTAAATTTATGTAAAATTCTGTACATGTTCACAAATTATTGCATAAACAGCATAATCTTCAAGACAGTGTTTGCAAACACATGTCCAATTCAGGAAAAAAGACAATTCACGTTTCCCGCCTGGCTTTTTTCTTCTTTTTTATTTGTTTGGGAGATTCCCAGTTAGTTTCAGACTTGGCTAAAAGAAAAAAAGGGGAAACAGAGATGAAAGGCTGGAAAAATAAGTATTGTTATATCTCAATAATACAAAAATAGCAACTAAGAAACAAATGCCTTAAATTCTTAAATTTTATGTTTTCAAGTCCTAGTTTTGTATTTTTTTTGTTTTGTTTTGTTTTTTCTCCGGTACTGGGAACCGAACTCACGACCTTGCGCATGCCAGTCAGGTGCTTTTGCCGCTGAGCTAAATCCCCAGCCCCTCTAGTTTTGTATTTTTAAGCTACTCTGTATGTGCCTTTCTCCTTTTAATACCAATGTATTATTAGATTTGTTTCTGCTGATATTCAACCAATTTTTTTGTTGTTGTGGTTTTTTCTTTTTTGAGACAAGATTTCATTATGTAGAGTTCAGGCTGGCCTTGAATTCAGTGCAGCTGAGGCTGGTCTCAAACTTGAGAACTTCCTGCCTCAACCTCCCAAGTGCTGGGATTATAGGCATGGGCTTCCACGACCAGTGTCAACCAGTTTCAACTACAGAAAGCACCATTTTCTTTCTGAAATGGGGTGCTATATTGCCCAGGTTGGTCTCCAAATGCTGGGCTATTGCAGTCCTCCTCTTAGCTTGCGGAGCAGTACAGAGCCCAGTGGGAAAGCACCATTTGATCAGCGTAGGTGACACAACAGGATGCTGGGTACAATGGACACTGAAGACAGCCAAAGTAGGGAGGAGGAGAAAAAGGTACAGAACAACTTGTATCTCTCAAGACCACATGCAAACAGAAAAGGACAGGGATCAGTCACTCAGGCAGGTGGGTACCCAGCTGTCATCTTTTTCCTTCTTCAAATGCTGGAGACTGAATCTTGGGCCCTCACACTGAGCTACATCTCCAGTCCTGTTTTCTGCTTTATCTTTAGATAGGGGTTAAGTCACTCCCAGGGCGGGCTTGAACTTGTGACCCTCCTGCCTCAGTCTCTTGGAGCGCTGGGATTACAGGTGTGCACCACTGCACCCAGCCCCAAGTCTTTTTGTCCTTAGCCACTCAATCTCTCCTTGAATGATCTTAGGAGCCTGGCCCTCACGACCAAAGCCCACAAGATCCAAGGCAGCCAGCACCTGCACAGGGAGCAAGGGCTGGCTGCTCACGGACTTACTAGGCTTCTAAGACCACAACCTTCACAGGTACATGAGGAAAATGTGCACGTATGGAAGGACACGAAGGGACAGAAAGAGGGCTGCTTACTCTGTGAAGGAGGCACACTGTTTTGCTTGGTATTTGACTTGGACTTATCTGTCTCCTGCAGCAGCGGTGGCACTTGGGAAGAGCTCTTGTCAGAATCACTTTTTGTTGGGGGAACAGATGGCTCAGTGGGAACAGCAGGTGGAAGAGTCTTCATAGGCTATTTTGGAATAAAATTATCTCAGAATTTTTATAAAATTTTCCAAACAACACTATCACAGTAGTATCAAGAGGCCATTTAGCAGCAAGTAAACACTAAGATGGTTTCTGAGTAATTTATCAGCAGGAGTGGAGTGACGCAACTCACATCTGCCCTCCAGTGACCAAAGGAACCAGGTGCGACAATACTTTCAAATACAGGCGAACGGATGAAGGTATAAAATTATAAAATGGCTTCTCAAATAGTGAGCAATTTCAGCTTCATTAACTTTTAGACTCTCCTGATTCATTATAAATAACTACTTTTATATTCTTTAGGAATTTAATGATCTGTCTACTTCCCACATAACCTCAAAAACTTTTCACTGAAGATAAAGGGAAGTAGCAAACCTCCACACGGCTGGTGGCTGACGCTCTCTTACCATCTTCCCCACAGACAGCGGCAGCACTGGCTTTGGTTTTGCCTCAGTACATGGGGGGCACCAGGCCCGGCCAAGTCTACTTATCCTGGTAGTAAAAACCTCACTCAGGCAGAGCCCAGAGTGAATGTCAGAACCAGTTAATCTGCGGCACTGGGAGGGCTCCCTGCGGCTACTGCTCTGAACTAGACGTGAGGGCAATCCCGCTTTCCCAGGCCCCATGGGTTCAAGGAAGCACAGTGCAAAATGGACACAAGAGTAGTGTGGGCCCACTGGCTCCCATGTGAGATGTCTGAGCCCATTTATACTGCTTTCTTCATCTTTCTTAATGTTCCCTGTATTTATTTTTGGAGACAGGGTCTCGTTATGCAGTTCAGGCTGGCCTTGAGCTCACTTTGTAGCATAGGCTGGTCTTGAACTCACAACAATCCTCCTGCCTCAGCCTCCCGAGTGCTGGGATTACAGGCGTGTGCCAACGTGCCTGGCTCCCTGTATTTGTTTTGCATTTCAAAGCTTTATTATGCTATCTATCTATCTATCTATCTATCTATCTATCTATCTTTCATACCGGAAATCAAACTCAGGACCTTGCGCTTGCCAGGCAGGTGCTTATGCCACTGAACTATCTCCCTGGCCCTTTATTATGTATTTTAAATCATTTTCCTTCTCTCTTTCTTCACTGATGTTAAGTTACAGAAAAGTCTGCAACATTCTTCTCAAGATGATATTGAAAATGACTTGTTTGATTCCCAGTTCAAAAAAAAAAAAATCTAAATAGGACGTATGATGAGAGTTGTTTTAGTAGAAGTTACAAATTCACTTAGCAGTAACTGAGTTTGTCAAAAACTGTTCCCAGAGGGCAGGGATGGTTCTCCATCTTGTTCTCTGCTCTACCCCAGCACCTTGAACAGCCTGTGACAGACACACAGTGGGCTCTCAGTAAATTTTTTTGAGTGAGTGAATAAACGAACCTGGTGATTTCATCAGAATTCAACTGTCACTGGCCTAAAATTTTCACCCAGTGGTTTTGTCCTCTCTTTTTCTGAGACAGGGTCTAACTATGTAGTTCAAGGTGACCCTCCCGCCCTGGCTGCCTGAGTGCTGGAGGGGCAGGTGTGCATCATGACACCTGCTTAATGGTCTCTTCTGCTACACCAGCATTTTCCACAGAAGGTGCATCATTCACAAACTTGTTACCAGCCGGGCGTGGTGGTACACCCCTGTAATCCCAGCACTAGGGAGGCTGAGGTAGGAGGATGGTTGCAAGTTTGAGACCAGCCTGGGCTACAAAGTGAGCTCAAGGCCAGCTGGAGCTGCATAGCGAGAGCCTGTCTCAAAAAGACCAAAAAAAAAAAAAAAAAAATCAAAAACTTGTTACTAAATGTCACATTTTGCGAGGCTGAACCAGTCATATATATATATATATTTTTTGTCTTCCTGAGTACTGGGATTACAGGCGTGCGCCACTACACCCGGCTCTGAACCAGTTATATTAAGGGCTGCTTGAAAGTGGACAGACTGGCCCTGGGTTCAACCCCCACATACACCACGTTTTTTCCTGTTTGCTGTTTCTATGATCTCAGCAGCCTCAGGCTAGCCTGTGGATAAGAGGGACCACTGTCCTGTTGCTCTGGGCAAGTTATTCAACTGCTCTAGCTTCATTTAGATGTGCACCTTACTCTTCTCTGAGAGTCGTTTGCGGACTAGTCAGGGCACTGAAACTTATTAGCACAGTGCTGCAATAAAACATTAAGGCCTCATTTCTGAGTCAACAAAAGTATTATTCCTTAAAAATTACCTGGCTGTTTTGGACCAGAACTTCAGCTGAGTCACTAGTGCTGACTGTTTTTGAGGAAAAAGCTTTCTCCTGTTTTGGACGGGCTTTAGCGGTGTTCACGGAAAGCTCTTCTCTAACCTCTTTTTCCAATTCTTCTGTGTCCTACACAGGAAAGCAGGTGCTTTATGAGACGATAAAAATTATTTGCTCTTTACTAACAAAAGCCCATTTTGCTTGCTGTCCTGAAGATGATTCCCTAAAATAATTTCAGTTCAGAAGCTGTTCAAACAACTTCTAGAACATGCATTTATCACTCCTGCTGTCTCTGAGGGTCACTCCTTAGAGCTGTGAATGAGAAAACACACACACACCTCTCCAAATGGAAACCGCTTCAATTGATTAAACCTACTCAAATAGGAAAAAAGAAACTAACACATATTCTATTAAAAAGTCCACAATGAACTAGCTGATACTTGAACTAAGACGTTTTACCTAATACTCCTTCAGGGAACAGAACGTTTGTACATGGAGAGCAGCAAGGATGCTGATGGGGAATTCCAAGTTTGGCCACGCTACAGCTTAGCTGTACGATTTCAGACACAAGGCACTTAGCTTTTTGAGCCTGTTTCCTTAACTTTAATGTTTCCCAAGAAAAATTTGAAGGTTGTATCTAAGTAAGCTTTAATGTTCCCATTCTTCTTCTTTTTTGAGACTTTTATGAAGTTTCAGTAACAGAATTGTTGTGGTTCCTATCTAACTGCTCGTAGGTGGGGCTCGGGGAGGGGCCTGGATGCCCATCAGCGCCCATCTTCGCCCATCAGCGGATCAGCCCAGCACAGCTTACGGAAGGCCCACCCCCCTCCTCCTCCCTTGCTCTGGCTCTGCTTCCTTGCTGCCCTGCCATGACCTCTTTCTCCTCTGACACACCGCTCTGCTTGGGGCCAGCGGCTATGGACTGAAAGCTCTACAAACTGGGAGCCAAATACACCTATCTTCCTTGAAGCCATGTGTGTTGGGTACTGTGCCTCAGCATGAGAAAGTAAGACAATAATTCTAAATCACGTTACAAGGCTTTGGTACATATGTGCAATAAACCATAGGGACATTACTGCGAACTGTATTGTTCTTTAGCAAACATAAAAATTGTAGTTGTTTTTTGTACACAAGAAGAAGAGCATATAAATTACCAGATAAAATTATTATATGCGTAAGGCACAGGAGCAGTTAAGACTCCAGTAGTGGTCTTCTCTTCTTTTTTCTTTGGTTTTTTTCTGGTACCGGGAATCGAACTCACAACCTCACGCTTGCCAGGCAGGTGCTGTGCCACTGAGCTAAATCCCCAGCCCCAGCAGTGGTCTTTTTAACTGGCTAAGGTAACTGTACAAGCTTCATCATACATTGCTACTCTATCAAACTTGTTCAGGATAGCAGTGAGTAATTAGATGGTAATTCAAAATGTGATGTGAATGTAAGGTCAGCAGGTAGCTATGGATATATATAAGGTTTGCAATCTTATAAAATTTATAAGACATCAGGTTTTTTTGAGACAAGGTCTTGCTATGCAGTTTAGGCTGACTCTGAACTTACTACTATGTAGCCCAGGCTGATCTCCAATTCATGGCAATCCTCCTGCCTCAGCTTCCTGAGTGCTGGGATTACAGGCATGCACCACCACACCCAGTAGACATCAGTTTCTATCACTCCTAAACTGAACCTTAAAGAACCTCACCAACCCACATATCAACAACTAAAAATAACTTATTCCAAAATATAAACTTTTATGAATAGGATACTACTTGATCTACTCTGTGTAGAACTTTTACTTCTTTTTTTGTTTTGTTTTGTATTTTGAGACAGGATCTTGCCAGGTACAGAAGTTCAAGGTTGCCTCGAACTCACTATATAGTTCGGGCTAGCCTTAAACTCACAGCAATCATCATCATTTCTGCTTCCAGTATAATTCTTTTTTTTTTTTTTTTGGTACTGGGATTTGAACTCAGGACCTTGTGCTTGCCAGACAGGCATGCTTGTGCCACTGAGCTATATCCCCAGCCCGTCTAGTGTAACTAAGCAGTTATATAATTTGTACAAAGTAAAAACCAACAACAAAAAAGTAAGTGGCAGGGCTGGGGATATAGCCAGATGGGTCTAGGTTAGACACAGTTTTTTTTGTTTGTTTCAAAGTAAATACCTTTGATTTCCTTCCTCCCTCCCTCCCTCCCTTTCTTCCTTCTTTCCTTCTTTCCCTCCTTCCTTCCCTCCCTTTTTGTCTTTTTAAGACAAGGTCTCCCTATGCAGTCCAGGCTGGCCTTGAGCTCACTTTGTAGCCTAGGCTGGTCTCAAACTCATAATGATCCTCCTGCCTCAGCCTCCTGAGTACCGGGATTATAGGGGTGCGTCACCACGCCTCACTTCTGATGTGTTTTAAAAAAGTATCACACATTAATTTTTAAAAATGTAATTTTTCAAATGCTCTTCAGCCAGGCTTGGTGGTGCATGGCTGTTAATCCCAGCACTCAGGACTCTGAGGCAGAAAGATCACAGTGAGTTTGAGGTCAGCCTGAACTGTATAGTGAGACCCTGTCTTCAAACCACACCACACCACACCACACCAAATGCTTTTCAACGAAATCTGACGTCTTTCACTCCCATTTATCTCCATATACTCTTAGCATCTGTATACCCTCTCTCACGTTTTCAGCAGGTGTGTAATGAATGCTTACTCTTCTGGTACTTTACCTGTGCAAGAGAGTTATCTTCACCTTGCTTCTTCTTTTTCTTCTTTTTCTTTTTAGATTTCCCAGTTGTAAGAGCTCCCTCTCCCTTTTCTTTATCGTCATCTGAAACCTGACAATAAAAGCAAACATATTAAGTGAACTGGCTACATTTATTTTTATTTATTTATTTATTTTTGGTGGTACTGGGGATTGAACTCACAATCTTGTGCTTGCCAGGCAGGCACTTATGCCACTGAGCTGTATCCCCAGCCCCCTACATTTCCTTTTCTTTATTGTCTTTTTGAGACAAGGTCTCATTATGCAGTTGAGGCTGCCCTTAAGCTCACTTTGTCACCCAGGCTGGCCTCAAACTTGCAATAAGCTTCCTGCCTCAACCTCCCGAGTGCTGGGATTACAGGCGTGCACTACCACGCCTGGCTAAATTTCTATTATTCAGAAAATTATGAAATAATTTTACTCACTAAGTTCTATCTTTATCCTCCCAAATCTAAGAATTAGCAATGAGTAATAAAGCCAATGAAAATTAAAACATTAAAAATGTGATGTAGTATACAGACCTTCACTCTACTGTCTACAGTAAACCCCTTTTATTGTATTTTTTACTAATCACTACAAGACAATCAAGAGAGCTGTGTAAACTTTTGTGTTTTAAAAACTCACTGAGCAGGTAATTCTGTTTTAATGGAGTAGAAAATGCAGAGCTACCTGGATTCAAATTAATTTGACCCTGCTAAGAGAATGAACTGACAGGTTGCAGAGTGGGAGAAATATTTGCAATATACTAGTTCCAACAATGACTGCTAGGTAGACTATATACACTACAACAGTAAAAAAAAAAAAAAAAAAAAAAAAAAACAAAAACAACAACCCCAAAACAAACCATAAAACTCAATCAGAAAATATACAAAAAACATGAACAGACAGTTCATCAAAGAAGATAATAAACAGATGGCAAACAGCACATGGAAAAATATTCACACCATAAAACAAGCTCTTAAGGCAATTCAAATCAAAACTGCAATGAGTAGCCGGGTGTGGTGGCGCACGCTTGTAATCCCAGCACTGGGAAGGCTGAGGCAGGAGAATCTCTGTGAGTTCGAGACCAGCCTGGGGTACAAAGTGAGCTCAAGGCCAGCCTGAACTATTTGGTGGGACGCTGTCTCAAAAAGACAAAAACACAACAAACAAACAAACAAACACTGCAATGAGTCATTACTTATCTGAATGTCTAACAGAAGAAGCAATGACAGCTGCAAATGCTTACAAGGTCACAAACCCAGGGTTCAAGGGAATATAAAGTGATAGGGGTATTGAAAGTATTTTGAAAGTTTCTTAATGTACTGAACATGCAACCACCATGCCACCTAGAGGTAACACTCCTGTGTATCCAGCCCCGGGCAATGAAAACATGTTTACACAAAAACTCAACTGTTCACTGGCAGTTTTATTCACAGTAGTCCAAACTGAGAACAGCTTGAGTGGGTTTCAACAGAAGAATGGCTCAACTCAAGTAAACCCAGAACAGGGAGACCCATTCACCAACAAAGTGTACAAGTTAGTGGTACACAGGACAAAATGACAAGCTCCAGAGAATTCTGATGAATGAAAACATCACCCCCTCAATGCACTAATATTAAAAATCTACACTGCATAAAAATCCCATTAACACAACCATTTTTTTAAAGACAAGGTTTGCTATGTTTCCCGGCTGTACTTGACCTGTGGGGTTCAAGAGATCTGCCCATTTTGGTTCCCTGAGCAGCTGAGACTACACAGACATACCACCCTGAGCTAGTACAATATCCTTGAGATCACAAAGTCACGTGGCCCAGGCAAGGGGCTGCAGAGGGTTACACTGAGGAGGGAAGAAAGGGCGGCCAGAGAAGGGCAGCATGCCTCTGTGATGGAAATGTTCATCTATTTATTTATTTACTCATTTATTTTTCAGGATGGTACCCCTGGGAGACGCTGGGTAAAAGAAACAGAAAATTTTTCTGTATATTTTTTTCTTCTATTTATCTTTTAATCTTTATGTTTTTGTATATTATACTCTATATTATTTTTTAAAATTATTACTATTTTTGTCTTTTTTGGAGACAGGGTCTCTCTATGCAGCCCAGGCTGGACTTGAACACGCAATGATCCTCTTGCCTTAGCCTCCCAGGTGCTGGGATTACAGGTATGTGCCACCTTGGCTCTATTATTTATTTTTTGGGCAGTATTATTTCTTAGATATGAATCTGTGTCTCAAAATAAAGGGCTTAATTTAAAAAATTCAATTTGAAAAGGAATGTCAAGGCCGGGTGTGGTGGTACACACCTGTAATCCCAGCACTCGGGAGGCTGAGGCAGGAGGATCGTTGTGAGTTCGAGACCAGCCTGGGCTACAAAGTGAGCTCAAGACCAGCCTAGGGGCTGGGGATTTAGCTCAGCGGCAAAAGCGCCTGCCTGGCAAGCGCAAGGTCGTGAGTTCAGTTCCCGGTACCGGAGAAAAACCAAAAAA